TAGCGTTGAACTGTGATCCTCAGATCTCAGCCTCCTGAGTAGCTATATCCTGCTATTTTCCCATTTTTGATAGATTTACTGTGAAACTTTGAAACTGTTTTTTTTTTTTTGTAGTGAAGGGGATTGAACTCAGGATTATATTATATTATATTAGGCATTGCTCTATCACTGAGCTACATCCTTGGCTGAAATTCTATATTTTGATGTCATGTAAAATACTTTATCCAAAAAATTATGTGGTTAGGGTTACCTCAGCCAATGCTTAAGCTTGAAGTCTGACTAACAGAGTTATACTTAACTGAATCTACAACAAGAGTTTTCTTCCTTTGAAGAAATTGGCAGGTATGTTTTGGACCTTTAGTTTAAACAGCCTTTAAAACATTGGAGAGTTTTATCATGCTTAAAACATTTGAAAAGCTGGGTATTGGTGGCTCATGCCTGGAATCCTAGCTACTCAGGAGGCTGAGATCTGAGAACCATGGTTCAAAGCCAGCTTGGGCAAGAAAGTCTGTGAGACTCTTATCTCCAATAAACCACTCAGAAAACTGGAAGTGGCGCTGTGGCTCAAGTGGTAGAGGACTAGCCTTGAGCTGAAGAGCTGAGGGATAGCACCCAGGCCCAGAGTTCAAGCCCCACAACTGACCAAAAAAAAAAAAAAAGAAAAATGTTATGATTGCATTTCTTTACTATCTTGTTATTTTTCTTTTAAAAAATTATTATTATAAAGGTGATGTACAGAGAGGTTACAGTTATTCTTTTTTTTAATTTCAGAGAACACTTTTTACAGCTGGTTAGAAGGTAATTTACGTATTTTTCATTTTTAAAGTCATAATGTTAATTATAAGATTCACCTATGAAATTTTATTTCCAACTCATTGATTTTTTTTAAAGGGCTTTGTGTAGAAAAAAGAGCATTCTACAGACTCATATCTGGCCTACATGCAAGCATCAATGTGCATTTGAGTGCAAGATATCTCTTACAAGGTATGTCCCATTGATTTTCCTTCCCATGCTTATTTTCAGAATTTGCTTGGTATTACTTGAATGGGAAAGACAGACGTGGGAGAATATTAGGCAATCAAAAGCCAGGTAGTAATCAGGGATGTGGAAATCTGAGTATAATTGTCAACTCTCTCTACCTTCTTTAAGAAATCTCTAAAAATTACACACTTTGAAAATATTTTTCTGCTTTGTTGTAAGAATTAAAAATAGCTCCATTTTGGTTATTTGTTAGGTATTATTGTTTTGTTTTGTTTTGTTTTTTGGGTCTGGTCGGTTGTGGGGCCTGAACTCTGGGCCTGGGCACTGTCCCTCAGCTCTTCAGCTCAAGGCTAGCGCTCTACCACTTGAGCCACAGCGCCACTTCCGGCTTTTTCTTTTTGCTTATGTGGTGCTGAGGAATCGAACCCAGGGCCTCATGCATGCAAGGCAAGCGCTCTACCACTGAGCCACCTTCCCAGCCCCCTAGAACTCTCTTTTTCATCAAGTCATAGCTTTTCTCATTCTTCCTGTTCTAAATTAGATTGTTAGTCTCTTAATTGGCCGAACACATTCAAATCAAATTGACTTGTGGTTATCATTCTATGGCTTTTTTGTAGGGGATTAAGATTTTTTTTTTAAACTCAGTGAAAACAGTGGTATAGATCATTTCCATTATAAGAAAAAGAGAAAGGAAGAAAAGAAAGCTCTTTTTTGCTTATTTTTAATGTTGTGACTTCTTTTTTGGAAAAAAAAAAGCAGCAGAAAAGCTTTCCTTAACAGAAAGCATGGCCATGTGTAGGCATATATGTATCTTTAATGCCTAATTTCAATATCCAAAATCAGGAAAATGCTGAAAATGAACAATTCCTCCTTATGTTTAGCACAGATTCATTTAGTGTAAAGATTCATGTGCTTAACTGAAGAAATGTCTGTGTCTCTTTCGCTCTTTTTCTCTCTGTTTTTTCATCTTCTTTCTCCCCTTCCCCTCCCCTCTTTTTCTGGTGATGCTTGGTCTGAATGCCAGGCAAGTGCTCTATCACTGAATTCACCCCTAGCCCCACAGTCTTAGTTTAAATTATTGATATTAACTATTATTGCTGCCTAGAAACTATTCTTTATTTTCAGAGCTCCTAAACAACCTTTTCATCTCTTTCTTGTTGTTTTCTGACATGTTTGATTGAACAGCACTACTCTAGACCTTGCCGGAGTAATATTCAATATATATATATGTGTGTGTATAGTGCATGTAGTGGATGACTTTAGATGACTGAAATTCTCAGGTCCAAAGTACCTTAAGCGTCAGGGCTCTTGGATGAAGTCTTGTAGACTTAGATCTTGTAGACTTCCCCCTGTTTATTTATCTATCTTTCACAAAGAACTTTTGGCCTTGAATTATGTATGTAAGATAAAACTAAGTTTGTAATATACAGCATTTTTTTTTTTTTTTACTTAGGTGTGTAGAGTTAGGAAAAATATAGTTTTTTTTTTTTTTTTTTGCTGGTCATGGGGCCTGAACTCTGGGCCTGGGCGCTGTCCCTCAGCTCTTCAGATCAAGGCTAGTGCTCTACCACTGGAGTCACAGCGCCACTTCTGGCTTTTTCTGTTTATGTGGTACTGAGGAATCGAACACAGGGCCTCATGCTTGCAAGGCATGCACTCTACCGCTGAGCTACCTTTCCAGCCCAAGTTAGGAAAAATATAGTTATACTTAGAGTTTTCTTTTGGGTAGCATGAACTGAGAGTAAATAATTGTTTAGTGAGTTGTATGCTCAGTTAAAAGAGGAGGTATAGTTAAAAAAGTATAACATAAGGAATAAGTAATGTACATAGTGGCAGGTAATATGTAGAAGGTATTTTATAAGTCTTAATTAGAAATTTGAGCTTTTGTCATGTGGTAATAAATGGATCTAGTAACACTTTTTTTAAGTTTAAGAGATAAATTGACATAATTAAAATGATAAGATAGCAAATATTTATCTCTAATTTGGTAGAATGTTAAAAATGTCAATCATTTCTTGGTTAGTTTTGTGTTTTGGAGTACTGGATACTGGACATTATTGATATGCTTTAGAAATGGGAGTTTAAAAGATGCATTATACATTTTCTGCATTGTGACATTTGCTTCCTTTACTATTAGTTGGAATAAATAATTATCCCTAACGTAGATAATTTCATGAATATTGTTTTTATAAGTTTTTTTTTTAAACTCAGGGCCTTGTACATGGTAGGCAGGTTCTACATATGAGTCACTGCACTTAAAACTTGTATTTTTTATTATCTTTAAGTAGTTGTACAAATGGCTACAACTTAACAGGTCAGTTTATGATCAATGTCACCTCTTCCATATTCTCCCCATCTCTCTCAGCGCACCCATCCCCTTAATTTTTGTACTCATTGTTTTTGAGATAGGACCTCACTTTCTGCATGAGCTCAGACCTGAAGCCTGTTTCAGGCTTCCTGTGAGATCGTGACAGGTGTCTATCACTGTACAGGTGTACACAGGTCTACACTGGTTTATTTTCATTGAGATGAAATTTCTCAGACTTTTCTGCCCAGGCTGGCCTCATACTAAATCCTCCCAATCTCAGCCTCCCTATTAGCTGGGATGACGGGTGAACCACAAAGGCAGCCTAGCTATTGACTTTTGCTAGATATTTTAGTTGCCGCTTCTGCATTAGGCATAGTTGTTTTTTAGATGCTGTTATTGTGCTGCTTGTAGAAGCATCTTTTCTAATTTATGTTTCTAATGCCATGTGGCTTGGAATAAAAATAACTAAGCTCAGTTTTTTTTGTCTTTGTTCCTTCATAATAAAAAGTAAATTCTGTTGAGAGCATGATGGAATTGTTTTTTTAAGTGCTTAGGATCAAACCCAGAGCCTCATATGTGATAGGCAAGTGTTGTACCACTGAGCTATAATCCCGGTCTCTCCTAGAGACTGACTACCTTTATCCTCAGAGTTGTTTATCTCCTTTGATTCCTTTGAGGCTACTTTTGCCACTTCCTCATCATTTATTTGTTCATTTTATCAAATGTAGATACATAAGATATTATTGTAATAATAAAATAATTCTCCAGAGCCACTGGAGGGCACTAGGGGCTATTTTTTTGTTTTGTTTTAAAGTTTTAACAGAAAAATTATGAATAGGTAGCAGGACCTGCATGCAGCCCAAGGCCTCTGCTTCTAGTGCCCATGCTTCTAATTACTCTACTAAGTTGTGCATTTAGGTTGCCTTCTAGTTTCCCCTTTTATACATAATGATAGCACAAAAATCATATGCCAGTAGCTTTTATGTAATTGGTACTGTATCTTTTTGTTGTTGTTGTTGTTTTTTAGTCTTAGGGCTTTAATTCAGGGCCTGAGCCCTGTCCCTGAGCTTTTATGCTCAGGGCTAGCACTCTACCACTTTGACCCACAGCTCCACTTCTGGTTTTGGGGAGGTTTATTGGAGACAGGAATTTCATGGACTTTCTTGCCTGGGCTGGCTTTGAACCATGATCCTAAGATCTCAGACTCCTGTGTAGCAAGGATTACAGTTGTGAGCTGGTACTGTATCTTCAGGACAGTTTGGTAAAAGATCTTGATGCTGTTCATCTAAGATGAAAGTGTTGGGTAACAAGTAGTATATAACATTGTTTTGTTAGTTATCTCAGTTACTGATGAAGGGCTGTATTCATGTAGGGAGGGAAATATATGTTGTATCATTGTAAGGTCACTAATGAGAATTGAATTACAGGCTTCTTATTTTCCTTTTCCTATTTCTAAAATCAGGATTCTTTTGTGATCAGTCTGTACAGTTTATTTCTCTCTTTTCCTTTTTTTCAGAAAAGTTACTTTAAGTTAGGGATTCAAGTCCCTGAGTTCAAACCCCAGAAAGCCCCCCCCTCCCCAAATTGGTTTAAAATGCTTCATCTGTTGCTTCATTGTGGTGACTTAAAAATCAATGGCATATAGCCTTGTTTACTTGTAGTTCTAGGTAAATGAAAGTAAGAAAGATTCATGCCACATTTTATTTTATAGACATACAGTCCCCTGATGCTGAATATGTAGATTTGCTCCTCAATCCTGAGCGCTACACGGGTTACAAGGGACCGGACGCTTGGAAGATATGGAATGTCATCTATGAAGAAAATTGTTTTAAGTATGTATTGCTTTCTTTTAGATATTCTGTAGTAGGTGGTACTTTGTCCTTATAGACAAACAAAATCACAATAGGAAATTTAAAGTTGCAAATTAGGTATACATTGTTGCAAGATGTTTTTGCACATAGAAACTTATCAATTTAGTAATCTAGTTCCCTTCTGGGAAAACATATTGACATGAGTTTCAATATGCATTTCTTCCTCAAAAAACTTAGAGTAGAGCTAGACCTTTATGGGAATATTGTAGGTGCTAAATAAATGTTCTAGAATAGATAGCAGAATCCCAGTTTATAGATGATGTAACTAGAGTCAGGGAGCTTTACTTCAGTGGCAAGAGCTTATAGTTATTGGCAGGATATAGGGTCAGATACTTTTGATTCTCTTTATGGTGCTTTCTACTCTCTTTACTTACTTTGATTTCATTTCTAAGAACAATTACAAGATTTCATTTGGAGACTTACTACTATGCTTACTGTGTTACCTGTATTACATTTTCTTTCCTAATTCTTACAATAATCCTGTTATAGTTCTCTCTGTTTTACAGATGGAGAATCTATCTGACATTTAGAGAGGTTAAGCAATTTGTTCAATGTTAAAGATGTAATAAGTAGAAAAAGTCACTCTGTCCTTTTTTTTTTTTGGTGGTGGGGGGATGTTGTGCCAGTATGTGGGCTTGTGGTTATTTGGAGATAAGAGTCTTATGGAGTGTTCTGCCCAGGCTGGCTTTCAACCTCCATCCTCAGATCTGTTTCCTGAGTAGCTAGGATTACAGATATGCAGGTTTGAGCCACCAGCGCCTTGCTCACTCTGTACTCTTAGCAATTATCATGGAAGAGGTCAGGGTGACTACTGGGAGACTGAGAAATGTTTCAAGTTCTTCATTTGTAATCCTAGAGACTCTAAACAATGTGCTAATTGGTTTATGGGAAAAAAGGGTAGTGTGTGTATGTGAGAGAGAGAGAGTGAGCTCTCAGAAAGCAAAGGCAATCTGGAAAAAATCTTTGCAGTTCTCAAATGTAGAGTTAACACATTCTGCTTTTTTTTTTTTTTGGTCAGTCGTGGTACCTGAACTCTGGGCCTGGGCGCTGTCTCTCAGCTCTTCAGCTCAAGGCTAGAGCTCTAACACTTGAGCCACAGCACCACTTTTGGCTTTTTCTGCTTATGTAGTGCTGAGGAATCGAACCCAGGGCCTCATGCATGCAAGGCAAACACTCTACCACTGAGCTACCTTCCCAGCCCCACATTCTACTTTTTATAAGTCACCTATAGACATTAGATTGCTATTATGTATACACCAATAAAATACCAGACTTGAGCCAGGTGCTGGTACCTCACACATGTAATCCTAGCTACTCTGGAGGTTGAGATCTGTCGTGGTTTGAAGCAGCCTGGGAACAAAAATCTTAGAGACTCTTATCTCCAATAAATGACCCAGAAAAAGCTGGAAGTGGCGCTGTGGTTCAAGTGATAGAGCATATGCCTTGAACACAAAGAGGCTTAGTTAGGGACAGCACTCAGGCCCTGAGTTCAAGTCCCAGGACCAGGACTGGAGGGAAGGGGGTGGGAGGAGACACAAACAAAAAAACCCTGTCATTTATGCTGACTCTGAATGGCTTAAACTCAGGGCCTCAGCCTGTCCTTTAGTTTAGTTTAGTTTTTTGTTTTTTTTTTTGCTCAAAGCTGGTACTCTACCACTTGAACTACAACTCTACTTCTGGCTTTTTTTTTTTTTTGTGGTGTTTAATTGGAGATAAGAATCTCATAGACTTTTCAAACTGAAATCCTGTGATCTCAGCATCCTCAGAATTTAAGGTTCTAGATATGAGCCACCAGCATCTGGCAAGACTTTGTATTGAATGAAAAATTTCTTTAGTTTGGAAAGTGAAAAGTTTTTATTACTAACTTCTGTATGTATTATTTAAATTTTCTTGATGGTTAGGAAAGTTTGGCTTACTGACAAGAGTTGAAAGTTGTTTTTTTTTTTGCTTGTTTTTAATGTTGCAAATAGTCTAGACAGCATTCATAGTTTTATAGTCATTTCCTTCTTAATATCCCGATTCCCATCATATTTCCAGCAATATAAATGATGTATGAGGTCTTATATTTTGAAAGATGGCTTACATATCTTTTTCTCAAAATATCTCAAATTGTGCAACTTTTGAAATTTAAGTGATGGACATTAAAATAATATACTTACTAATAAGAAAATGAATACATATTGATTTTGGAATTAAAAAAGCTCTTTAGCTGCATATTAAACTTCTGGCTGGTTTTTTTTTTTTCCTTTTCAAAAAAGCCCTTTCATTTGTTTGGTGCCAGGGTTTACACAAGTAATCCTAGCTATGTGAAAGGCTGGGATCAGGAGGATCACTGTTCAAGGCCAGTCTTTTCTCAACTTAGTACCTGGGTGTAGTGGCGTGTGCCTGTTGTACCAGCTGCAGGGAGGCTTACATATTGTGGATCACAGTACAGATCAGCCCAGGCAGAAGAATTTGTAAGATTCCAGCACAACAAAAAGAAGCTGGGTGTGGTGGCATGTGCCTCTTTATTACCTTAGCTATGATAAGAATCCTAAAACAGGTAGATCTTAGTTCAGGTGTGTTCCAGGGTGGGAAGCAAGGCTTATCTCTTAAAAGTAACCATTCCAATGCCGAATGCTGACGGTTTATGCCTGTAATCCTAACTACGCAGGGGGCTGAGATCTGAAGATTGTGTTGAAGCCAGCCCAGGTAGAAAAGTCATTAAGACTCTTTATCTCTAATTCATTACTCAGAAAAAGCCAGAAGTGACTCAAATACCAGTGGCTCACACCTGTAATACTGGCTACTGAAGAGGTTAAGGTCCGGAGGATCATGATTTGAAGCCAGCCCTGGCTGAAAAGTCCTTGTAAACTCTTACCTCCAGTTAATCACCAGAAAACTGGAAAGGGTGCTCAAAGTGGTAGAATGCTAGCCTTGAGTGAAAAAAAGCTCAGGGATAGGGCTCAGGTGAGTTCAAGACAGATGACTGACCAAAAAAAGAAAAAGAAAAAGCCAGAAGTGGTAGTTTGGCTCAAGTGGTAGGTTACTAGCTTTTAACAAAAGACTCAGAAATAGCATCTAGGTCATGAGTTCCAGCCCCAGGACCAGCACACACACACAAAAGTACGCAGTGCAAAATGGAGCTGAGGCATCATTCAGGAGCAGAGCACCTGTCTCCTGTCCAGCTATTGTGAAGCTCTTGAGTTTAAACCCTAGTACTAACCAAAACAAACAAGTAATACCATCTTGTATGTGAATTGTAACAAGCTTGATATCCAGAGGGCAAACTGATGCATTTGTTACCCAAGTGGGAAATATTCTACTCTCAATTTTCCCACTGTTTAATTTTAGTGCTTGTATTGGGTATTTTTATTTGTCCTTCAATTAGGAGAGTACTTTGTACCATACATAAATGTACCTACACATAAATATGATCTATAAAATCATTGGTCACTTGGAGAAGTGCTTGACTAAAACTTTTTCTGCCCTCATTTGAAGAAGTGATTAGGAAATACCTTGATGCCTACTATAATGAGGAAACATCAGGAATTATTAGAACAAGTTATTAGAACAAGTTACAGCCAATAATTTCTCTAAAGGAATTTGAGAAACTTAAATATTTCATAATCTCAGTAAAACAATTTGATAATCATTAAATGACTTTTGGAGATACTTAAATAATTGTAATGTGATTGATAACATACTTAAGCTTTATAAAATATTCTTGGTTTTTTAATCAAATGAGTGAATTATAGATATATATTTATAGTTCAGAAAGTTATCTGACATAAGTTTTAGAAATGACATGTCTTACAGTTTACAATTTTGTTTTCCTTGTGTTGATGATTTTTATTTATTTATTTATTTTTGTTGCTAGTTCTGGGTACTCTTGGCCTACTATGTACTGTCCCTGAGCTATTTTGTTCAAGGCTAGCACTCTACCAAATTGAGCCACAGCTCCACTTCTGGCTTCATTAGTGATTGATTGTAGATAGAGTTTCACAGACTTTCCTCCTGGAGTTGCCTTTGAATGGTGATCCTCAGATCGCAGCCTCCTGAGAAGCTAGTTACATGTGTGAGTCACTGGTGCCCAGTTTGTGTTATTACTTTGAATAATATTTCTCCAAATGTCCACAAATTTATGATTCACTTACTTCAGAACAGAAGTATGTATTGTTAACAGAATTCACATAATGTATTTGAAGGAGATTCCATCATCCATCTGCTAGATTTTATAAGCGATGCTGTGATTGTATAATATTGAAGTTTATTCCAATTATTTTACTTGGTCTACAAATTGGTTTATATTGTTAGATTGAGGACTGCCTTACGGAAGTTAAAATTATAACCCAGTGTCTTTGTTCTTAGGCCACAGACAATTAAAAGGCCCTTAAATCCTTTGGCTGCCAGTCAAGGTGAGTTGTTTATTTGCACTGCTGAATTGTTTATCAGTGAACTTCAGTTAAAGGGAAGAAAAAGAGGCAGGCAAGACAAATGGCAAGCTGAGGCCTAAAATCCGTTGTCCTGTGTGACTGCTGAATTCAAACCCTAGCATTGCCAAAAAAGAAAAAAAAAAGTTCTTTCTTTCCTAATCTAAAAAAGATAAGTTTGCCAGCATTTACCTGGCATGATGTATTCCCATCATTTTATTGATTGTATGAGATCATCTTTTCAAGTAAATATTACAAATGAAAACCTTACACATTTGCTAAAAGCACATCAACCGTTTTATAAGTATACATTATCCCTTTTATGCTTCACTTATTTTTCAGATAAGATCTTAGTTTTACTTTATTAAATGCTTTATGCCCTGGCTGGCTTGGACCATGATTTTCCTATTTTTCTTTCCTAGGGTTACTAGGATGACAGGTATGCAATTCCATGTCCATTAAAAAAAAAAAAAGATTGAGATGGGCTCTTCTGACTATAGGCCCAGACTGGTCTTGGAACATGATCTTGCAGATCATCGTGGTATGAGCCACTATACCCAGCAAGAAAGATCATTGTTTTTTTTTTTGTTGTTGTTGTTGTTATTGGTAGTGGGGCCTGAACTCTGGGCCTGGGCACTGTCCCACAGTTCTTCAGCTCAAGGCTAGTGCTCTACCACTTGATCCTCAGTGCCACTTCTGGCTTTTTCTGCTTATGTGGTGCTGAGGAATCGAACCCAGGGCCTCATGCATGCAAGCACTCTACCACTGAGCCACCTTCCCAGCCCCAGAAAGATCATCTTTAAACAAGACTTTTGGATTTTTATCTCATCACATATCATACATGGTAACTCAGTGGAGGCTATTGATCTAGTATCAGATGAAGTGCAAATTCATAGATAAGTGATCTTTACTATGAACTTACATTATTATTTGATTGACAAACCACTTTCTTCCTTTAAACATAATTGGAAACAATTTGAATGTTTATCATTAGGGAACTGGTTAAATGATGTGTAGAAACATGGTAGAATATACTCACAATAAATATTGCTGTTACTGGGTGTTGGTGACCTACATTTGTAATCCTAGCTATTCAAGAGGCTGAGAAGATCTTGGTTGGAAGCCTGTTGAGGCAGAAAAAAATCTATCAAAACTACCTCCAATTAACCAACAGAATACCAGATTAGAGATGGGTTGAAGTGTAAAGAGTACCAGCAGTGAACAGTGAAGCTTGAGCAAGAGCTTGAGGCCCTAACTTCAAGCTACAACACACATACACAAAATACTGCTGTGAATTCACTTAAATAAACAGTGATCAACAGTGTACTGAGGAAATGTAGCAGGTATCATACAATATACATATTTATATGTATATACATAGACATATGTATATACATAGACACACACACACACACACACACA